CCTCAGGGGCCTGGTCCCGGCGCTGGGCCTCGTCCCTGGCCGCCTCGGCCGGGAAGGCGGGCGGCGAGCCCAGCAGCTCCACATCCGTCACGGTCTTGCCAATGGTGAACCAGTCGTTGATCTGGTCGACGGTGAGCTTGCGCAGCATGGTCGCAGCCCGGCCTCGCCGCCGCCTCAACCGCCCCGCAGAGCGGCGGCACCTGACGACGACGACGACTCCGGGAGGACCGCGGGAACGCGGCTTGGCGTAGACGACGTGCCCAAGGCCCCGCCCCACGCCAGGCCCTCCAATCAGAGTGCGCCAGCGCCCACGCCAGGGCCACGTGCAGTCCGCCCCGCCCTGCCCCGCAGCGACTCGCTAAGCCTGCTGGGAGCTTGGCTCGCCCAGCTCACGCGCGCGCGCACGGAATCTTGGGCCTTCACAGTCCTCTGGGCTCAGAGCTCCGCAGCCCCCTAGCGGCGCCCCGGGTCTGTGCAGCGTGACCCCGGGCCGCTCAGGCCTCTGGGCAGGGGCGAGGCGGACCCCGGGTTTCCACCGTCCCCCAAGGGTTCCCACGCGGCGCTGCAGGCCAAGGAGGCGCAGCACTTACTGAGCGCCTGCTGTGTGCTCCGGGCCATGCAGGGCGCTGGAGTAGCTCGGGAGTGGATTTGGGGTTGTCTTGTTGGCAGCTGGCTGCGAAACCGGGGCACCTTGCGTCTTGCAAGGGGGGGGAGAGGAGCAAGGAGGAGGTCAGGGAAGGCACCTTGGGGAGACGGCGCCTAAGAGGACGCCTGCAGGTGCCCGCAGGCAGGCAGTCTGCCCTAAGGGCTGAGCTGAGGCCCTGCAGCGGCTCTGCGGGGCCAGGACGTGAATGAACTGAACTCATTTCTGAACCTGCCTCTCAGGTGCACTGTCCTGCCCGCAGCGAGACGGGGTGGGAGGCATGGATTTGGAGGTCGCCAGCCAGTGGAAGGTGCTGAAAACCCCAGCGCCCCCGAATGGCCCAAGCCGGGCTCTAGACGAGTGGGAGATGGTAGAGGGCACAACCCTGGGAAGCAGCCTGGAGGAGGCGGCAGAGGGAAAGTCCAGCGGAGGTGTGCAAAGGCAGGTGGGCGGCAAGGAGAGTAAGAGGACATGGCCACCTGCCCCCCGTCATGGGGCAGCGCCCAGGGCACAGCGGGGGCTCTCAGGAAAGAGCAGTACAAGGCGTCAAGAGCCGGGCGCCCCCCAGCGGTGTGAAGTCCCACCAGTTAAGGACTGGAATATGCCCACCCCCCCAAAAAAAATATGCCCAAGTAAGAGGTCAGTTTAAAGTGCAGCAGAGGTCGGACTAGGAGGGCTTGTCCTATTGGTGTCTCTCACACCAAAACATGAGCCCAGAGCTGTACTGTTACAGGACAGGGGGGACCTGGCCCTGAGCGGGTCTGCCTCAGGGTGGCCGGTAGTGTGAGGGGTCTTGCTTTGGTGCAGGAAAAATTTCACAAGTCCAGGTGACTATGACAGTATGTTTATTAAAGCTGGGGACAGTGAAACATGGGCTTAGCGTAGAAGCAGCAACAGGAAAGACCTAGGCTGGGCTGCTTTAGCTTACTGTCCGGGAGGAAACGTGGGGGAATTGGAGACAGGTTAGGGGGTTAGCACGAGATGAGCTGCCCCTGCCCGTTGCTCCCCTGGTTGCAAGTCTGGTGGGGTCCCTTAGAGTTTAGGAGATGCCTGCCTGTTGGGGAAGGATGGGGGAAGGGAATGACACATGTGTGTTCTCCAGAGGGAGAGCTGGAACTGGGCCCTTTGTCTTCAGGGGTTTTTTATCTGTCTTGCAGGTGGGAATTTTTGGAGAGGTCTCGGGGGAGGCTTTTAGCAAAATACTCATGAGTTTTCCAGGTGTGCCCTTTAAGGGCCGTGGTCTCTACTGATTAGTCAGCATCAAAGCAAGGGGTCATTGGTCATTGCAGCTGGTCCTGGCGTGGCCCACTGGTTTTATTGCTTTTCTGGGCCTGGAGCTTAAGTAGAACTGAGGCCTAGGTATTATCTCTAGGGAGGTGACCTTCTCTATCTGGCTGTAAATTACTCTATCTCAGCTTCCCCATTCTACTTTCCAAGGAATTTTCGTAGCTTCTTACTACCCTATCGAGCAAGGAATGCCAGGTCCAAATCCTGGCCACACCACTAACTTATATTACGAGCTGTGGGCCTCGTATTCTGACCTTTCCAAGTACTGCAGCCTCCAAAATGTGCCCCTGACACATGTTTTTTGGCAGGGGAAAACAATTTGTTTCTCAGTAAATAAGAAAAATGTAACTGTAGAGTCACTGAGACTCTTAGTATGTCTTTGAGCCTTGATTGGAAAATACTGCAACTTCATACGTCACGAGAAGTCTAGCCCATGCTCTGAATTTCACAAACTGTATTGAAGCCAAACAACTCTGGGACTCCTAACATTTGTGTTACTATGTTACTGTTCCCACACGCTACCATCCTTTGTTGATGTCACAATGAATATGTTGTTTAAGCTTTTTTTGTAAATATATCTTTATTGATTTCAGAGAGAGGAAAGGAGAGGGAGAGAAACATCAATGATGAGAGAGTCACTGATCCCCTGCCTCCTGCACACCCCCAACTGGGGATCGAGTCCACAACCTGGGTATGTGCCCTGACTGGGAATCAAATTGCCTGGATCCTATGTCAACGCTCATCCACTGAGCTACGCCCAGCCGGACACGATGAATATGTTTTTAAGTAGAAGTTGCTCTTTTTCTGAAGAGGGTTCATTTCACACGTTTTCTTGAGGGCATTGCCTATGTCCATGGATGCTTTGGGGTTCCCAGCTCCTTCAGTCCTATTGAGTTTTGAGGTTTTAACTCTAGTTTAATGTGTTGGTGATTCTTCAGTTTGGAGGTTTGTTCTCATTTAACTGCCATTTTCCTGACTAAACACTAAGTTAACATTGTGTCGTCAGAGACCACATGGCTTGGAGCTCCCTTCCTTTGGTTTAGTAGGTCTTGGTGCTCCATACCCCAGCTCCGCTTGCATTCCTGTCTAATGTTCCGAGTTAGAAAGAGACAGCTGACAGTTGTTAATAGGCTTGGAGACATCCAGGCCGAGCAGGTGGGAAGGCCTCTGGCCTTAGAGGTTTTGCATATGTGCATTCCCAGAGCAGCGGGAGTGCCCGCCCAAAGGAAAACAGCTGACAGCAATTACAAGTGCTGTTGATTCGGAGAAGCAGCACTCCCAGGAGCAGAGAAGCCAAGTTCAAAGTGCCTTCACGTCCTTGCTGACCTTCTCAACCACAAAATGCAGCATCTGCACGTGGAGTAAATCTGCTGGGGTGGCCCTTTCTTTAAACACTGTTTTCTTTAAAGATGTGTTTTGTGTAGGATGCGTTGGATTTGCAACTGAAGTCGATTTTGAAGTTCAAAAGCTTGTCTTGAAATAGCTTACGATGTTTGCTGTCCTCGGCAGTTTTCTAACTATAAGTCTAAAACACACTTTTTCTAAGACATTGGTTCTCAAGCCTGGTGCTTATCTCAGGGCTCCTTTGCTCTCTTCAGAATAATTGGCCCTGTGCTGGCTGCTGTGGCTGAGTCGGCTGGAGTGTCGTAGAGCATTGTCCCATGCACCGAAAAGTGGCAGGTTCGATTCCCAGTCAGGGCACATGCCTGGGTTTCGGGTTTGGTCCCAGTTGGGCCAAGTATGCGGTGCAACTGATCAATGTCTCTTATATAGATGCTTCTCTCTCCCTCCCCTCCCTTCCTTCCTCTCTCTCTAAAAAATCAATGGAAACATTATTAAAAATAATAATAAAAAGAATAATTGAAGACCCTAGAGAGCTTTTGTTTATATGGGCTATACCTACCTTACTTTTTAATTCATTTTAAAATAATAAAAACATGTGATGTTAAATGAACTTTTTTAAAATTTATCTTTATTGTTGAATTACAGACGTCCCTTTTTCCCCCATTGACCCTTCTACTCCACCCCCCATGAATATTCTTTTTAATGATTTTTTTTTTGGTTCATTTTTAGAGAGAGAGGAAGGGGAGAGAGAGAGAAACACTGATGTGAGAGTGGAACATCTATCGGCTGCCTCCCCCCCACTCCCCGACCAGGGATCAAGCCCACAACCCGGGCACACGCCCTGACGGGGAATGGAACCGGCAACCTTTTGGTGCACGGGACGATGCCCAGCCAACTGAGTCACACCAGCCAGGGCTTAAATGAATAATTTTATGAAAACTAAAAAAAAAATTTTTTTTCCCCGTGTGAAAAGAGCGACACTTTTATATGGTCAAAGATCTCTTGGCGTCTGCCTTCCTGGGATTCCCATACCTGTTTCCATATTCATTCTCTTGTGACATCGCAAGTCGCATAGCCTCTGGAAACCCCACACCCGTATGAGGGAATTCTAGGGGAAAAGGAACATTAACATCTTACCATTATTATGAAAATGTTGTGACCCTCCCCCGCCCCGGGGAGGCGGGGAGGCTGGAAACCCTCAAACTATACTTTGAGAACCACTACCCTAAAATCCTGGGAGGATGAAGCCTTTCAAGTTCTGCCCTTGAGCCTAAGCTTTCCTCGCGTGGATACGGGACGTGTTCACTGACCTTCCCTCCCGCGTCCCGTCCTTCCCTCTGAGCTCCTTTCCTTCCGCCTCAGTCCCGGGCTCTCAACTTTCTTTTTTTTTTTTCCCCACTGCGGGTCTCAGTGATGAGCCCCTCAGCCTTAGTTCGTCTGAAATGCCATTTCACCCGACTCGCTGAATGTTAATTTCCTTACGCCCTGAATTCCAGGTCTGCAGTTATTTGGAGTCTCTCCTTTTAGTTTCCTGCGGTTTTACTTTGAGGTTTCGAGGTGCTCGTTTATTGCCATTCACCTGCCTGCTGGGCCTCCATCCGGCCTTTTGGAGTCTGCGGTGCGACTTTTCTTTCCATCGCTCCTGGAAAACCCGCAGGCAGCTGCTGCCCCTTCCCGCACCCCGGCCGCGCCCGCCCGTCCTGGGGAGCACCCCCGCTGCGCGTCCTCTGGAGCCCCGCTCCTGCCCCCGCGTGTCTGGAGGGCTTCCTCCAACCTGCCTTCGGATCCAGCGCGTCCTCAGTATCGCACCTGGTAACAATGTATCCAGCCCCGCAGGCGGTTTCCTTTTGTTTCATTTGTTGCCATTTCCCGCCGACGGTTCCGGTCGCGTTTGTTTCCAAGCCCGCGCCCGCCCGGCCCGGCGTGGGCCGCCCTCCCCGCGACGCCTGCCCACCGCTGTCGGGCGCAGTGACCG